AAAACAAATTCTCATTATTTCACACTGCATAATAAGGATTAAGCCAGATTTCATGCCAGAGGTTTTGAATGAGAACTCGTCTTTAGTCTTCATAATGCAAATATGCGTTACATTTTCAACTCTCACCTTAGCATGGGTAGACAACCCTTCTGTTTCACCTCTTTGGCTCCTTCTGTTTCCTCAAGCTTCACCATAGTTTGTAGGTCTGGGAAAACTGCGGGGCAGGTCTCTTTTGCACTTGGTTGTCCCTACAGTACCCAGCACATCGTCACACATTCAGTCAGTGTGCATTGCGTATCGACAAGGTCAGGATGGTCAGAGGTACTGGAATGCCACTGTCTCCAAAGCAAAACTTGTGGCTCTGGTTGTTTAGAGTTCTGAAAACTGAAAGATGTGATTGAAGACTTCCAGCTGGCCATACCAAGAAAATACCCTTTAGCCTTTTTTTCATTTTCAAAATACATTTTAATCACAATAGCAAACAAGAATGTCCCCAGGAAATAAAAGCTACATTTGACAATGGCTATTTTTATAAGGCAGACTATGACCAAAATATTTTTCTGGGGATTAGTGGACAGGCTATTAGGAATGTCCACAACCTGCCCACACACTCTCTTACACTTCCTTTCCTCCAGTCCCCTATAACTTGTTTTATGATCATTCATGTTCTCTGTACTGAAAAATAGTCAAAAGTAAAATGAGCATAAGGTCAAAAGTCCTAAACCTGGTTATCTCAGATGCCTTCTTCTCCAGTTCCCATAGCCACTGTTTCCGTGTGCCCTGAACTATAACCCATCGCTGTGAAAGCAGCACCCAGTTTGTAGCTGCTGCTCAGTGTTATAAGTAGAGTGTGTGGTACAAGTCCTGCTACTAAGGTGATAGCCTCGAGCACTTCAACCCCAGGGCCTTTGCTAGTGAGGCCAAAATCCCCTCCCAGAGATGAACAACTTCAGGAAGAAGCTTCATGGGAAGGAACAAATAGTTCATGTCCAAAACCTGCATTTTTCAGACATTGCAGGCTCAAGTTCTTCCTCTGTCTGGGAAGCATTTGCTCCTCACTCCACCGAAGAGCTGAGCCTAGCAGTTTACAACAAAGAGTCCATACTTCTTGGAATCCAAAGGTAGTAATAAGGCTGTCTATCACCTGCACTTTGAATAAAAGCTTAGACACAAGCTGATTGTGAAATTCCAGTACAGCTCCATAATGGAAAGGTACAGGGATATTCAAAGTCATGTGCCCACAGAACATGTAACGACATGGAGAAATGCTTGTCACACAATTCTCAAAAGAAAGAAAAGAAGAAAAAATCACATTGATAGTGTGCTTCCAATGCTGTAAATGTACGAGAATATACATGATACTGCCAGACTGAAAGTATTACATAGGTCCTTACTTAAAATTCTCAGATAATTATGCAAGAAGTTAAATGTACAGTCATGAAAGAGAAAAAAACCAAGGAAGAAGAAAGTTTGAGATGAGTGGCTTAAGTATTTTAGTCATCATACACCTAGGGGAAAATTTGCCACAATTTTAGCAATGGTAATTTCTTGATAGGATTCAAGGTGATTTATATGTCTTCCCTTAATTTTCTGTTTTCAGAGTTTTACAAGAAATATATGCAAACTGATAGAATAACAAAAAGAAAATAATCATAAGTTCTGAAAATAGTATATTTGATTTTTCCCCAACCCTCTCCTCCTTTTAGTTAAAATATACCACATGCAGATACAAATTCCTTACGATGAATATGATCATTTTGTATATCTAAAATGTACCAATAAACTTAATTAAAGAAAAAATGTAAAAAACAATTAAAAAGAAAATGATATATTTGAATATCATCATGAAAAGGAAATTACAGAGAAAAAGCAATAGCAAATGTGGCTATGCCCCGTGTGGCAGGTGTCAGAAAACTGCTTGGCTTCGTAGCCTGAGGGTCATTTCTTTGAACTTTGTTTCCTGTTGACTGAGTGGAGATTCTATGTCTCAGCAAACTAAGTTTAGATAGGTGGAAGATGTGTCCACCAACTTTTTATCTACCGTACAAATAAGTTTTTAGTAAATGCTACCGATGTTTCACTATACCTCACATTTTCTTATTTCAGGGATGTGAAAAATGTGTCACACATCCAAAACTTGGTACTCCATAAAATTTCACGAGGATCAATCAAATAATCTATGTAGAAGCCTTAAAAGAGAACATGACAACAAATATTTAACAAACGTGAGTGATGAGGACAGACTTAAGATGGCTAAGAAGAGTTCTCAGGATGAAAGTTGGTCTCTAAATTTAAGAAGAGTGAGAAGAGCATGGATTGCTGAGGAGCATGGGTGACAGTGGCTGGGTGCTAGGGAAGAGGGAATAGGGGTGAAGGAGCCCAAAGACCTTCCCTTCCCAGCCACCTCGGAGAGACAGGAGCAGAAAATGCAGCCATTTTAGAGAGCAATGTTATGCAAGGTTCTTGCACTTAAACATCTCAAATAGTCAGATAAGGAATTCAATAGACAAAAGGAAAATTAATAAAGAAAGGAGGAGGCAAGTTGGAGGTAGAGTGGCTTATGTGTGCAGTTCTGTGTGATCTCACTTGCTGTTAATATCCAAAGAGTGAGCAACCACAGGACAGAGAGAGTCCTGCAGTTGCCAGGGTCAAGTGGAGATTGAGCTACAAAGAACAAAGCATGCTCAGCAGTCTCTTTGCTGGGGCATGTTCTCAGGCACACTAGTAGACAACTTAGAATGACTTTAAGAACAGGTGTGATTTACATGCATATAATGATACATGTAACTTCCAATAGAGCAATAAATGTAAGTGCAAAAAGGGAGACCTGCTAAAAGGTATTTATGTTACATTGTTTCACATTTCCTAAGCTATTATAAGGTTCTAGGAAGTTAGTGCTTTTTCAAGCACTTTGTGTAGAAGACCTATTGTTCCTGAATGTATTCATCGTGAGCTTGGATAGGAACGGTAAAAGGTTAACGAGAAAGAATAAAAGGCATTAAAAAGTAATGTGCTTCATCACACTGCACAATTAAGGGATAAATGTTTCTACTTACAGAGGTTTAGAGCCCCATCCAATGTTTACCATCTGCATTCTTACATTACATGAATTCAAAAGTGTTGGCAAGGTCTCCAGCTAGGAAATGAGATAAAGAATGGTGCTGAAGTAAGGGAACCCTGGCCGAGCAAGTCACCCCAAACCCTGACTGTTGAACCTTCTCAGGTTTTGCATAGAAACAAGACCTGGTGTGGCAATAGTCCAAAAAACTGAAAATCTCTGTGATGCCAGGAACCATATCAGGTCAAACAAAGGCTAACAGCAACTGTTGGCATAAAGATATTCCTTCCATTTTTTAAATGTGCTCTCAGGAAGAAAATCAGTTTTCAAGGGTACAGCAATGGCTATGGTGGGGTGTGAAATAGACTTCAAGCTTATGGTAAATTCTGGGGTTCAGGAGAACACAGCACATCATTTCCAGAGTATGTGACATTCAGGAAGAGATGGGCTCTTCAAATTTACTCTCCAAATACCCAGAGAGCCTAATTTCTTTTTCTCAGGAAAGATTCACCAAAGTGCACCAGATCCTGTAGATTCAAAAAAAAATGACTGACACTCAAGCACTTGCATGGAGTTGTCTGCAAAGGGTTTTTTCATTTTTTTAATGAGCATTTGTGCTTGCTGATTTTTAAATTTTGCTTATTTTGGTTTTTACAACAGAATCTTTCAGGTTCTCATAAAACAATAGACTTCTTTGAATCTTAGAGTGAAAAGGACTTCAACCATCTCCTAGTCGCACACTGTTCCTTGTAATCAGTCTCCCTACAGGACAGAAGGCAAGTTGAGGTCCTGGACAAGGGAGGCCCCTCTGCATCATCTGAGCTGCTTATTACTGTTGCCTCATCCTTGACTCCCCATCACAGAATGAAAGCTGCTTGACCTGCCTGTGCAGCTGGATCCCACTTTCTACTGGCAGTGAAGTCTGGTGGCCTGGGAGTCTGGTCCCTGTACCCCAGGGGGTCATCAGCAAGCATGCTTTGGTATCAGCAGTTATGACTCTTGCACCAGATGGCACAACTCAGTTCTAGATGCTAGACAGATTGTGAAAATGAGCTCAGTGAAGCGATGGTGGAAATCCAATGAGCAAGAATGATTATGAATGTCGACTGACACTTGGCCTCAGTGAGGAGACGAGGGGTAAGGAAGAGATGAGGCTGTGGTGACACAAAGGAGAAAGGCTCTGTTTCAAAAGAGTGGCCACTGGTCAGTTTCTGTTGATTTTTATCTGAGGAATGTGGGCCTTAAGGACAGCTCCTCTAAATTTTTCAGGCAGAGTTGGTTTTTTGGGCACATGGCCAATATAGCAGCCCAGGGCCTTGACTTTCAAGGTCCCACACTTGGTTTGATTCTCTATCATTCCATCTTGAAATTCCTAATAATTTTTAAATTATTGAGGGTGACTGAGTTTTCTTATTTTGCACCAGATTCCAAAAACGATATTATCTGTCATATTTTTAAGAGCAGTTGTATTGCACATAGTTTTTATAAAAATTCTGGTTGTTAAAGTTCACTAACTAAAATTTTTTAAAGAAGTGAATGTTACACATCTAAGCCAGCTGATTGAGGAACTGTGGACAGATTTCAACATGTTAGATCATCTCAGGGATTACGCCAGATCTGAAAACTTGGAACCATGGTGTGTTAGATGATGTAATCTGGTCGTTGCCCTTATTCTTTAGATAAGGAAACATTCAAAAGAAATGAAAACAGAAATAGAGGCTGTCATTTACAGCTCCTAATATGTGAGGGCTATTTTCCTAGACATGCTGCCCACGGCCAAAATGGAAGAAATCTGAGTTTTGCGATGTGTGATTATGTGCACTTTCTGCTTCATTAATTTATTTTCCTGTGTTTTAGCCAAGAAAATATCTTTTATCCTTTGCTGAAATGCACCCCCCTTCCCTGGGGACTTTAAGCCACAGTTGATTTTACTATCACTTACACAGTAATTACCCAAGTACTATGTTTCACCAGAGCCAAGAGTTAGTACGCATCTGGGGCTGAGTCTGCTACAGGAAATACATCACTGGATCCCATCGAAGGGCCACAGGCTTCATGATGGCAAATTCTTTCTTCCCCTTTTGCTCCACGCCACCTTGTTTGAAGATTCCCTGTGTGACTTAAGAAGGGAAACAAACATACTTCAACAAACACATGTCCTGTATTCTGACTATTTCAATATCTTTTTTGTTTTCTCAGTGTGTTAGAGTTCTTACTCAGTGGCTGGTTTTTACTAGCATATTAGAAAGATTTCTTCCTGGCTTAGCAGACATTATATAGACAGCCTGGTTTTATGGATTTTATTCTGTCTTGGACCTAATCCTACCAAAAAATATGAAATAATTCAACCTTTTTAAAGAGGTACTCGTTTCTGGCACTTGTGGTGCTGTTTCTGTGTCTTTCTTTTTGCTCTGCTGTATGGCATGCTATGAGCTAAGAGAACCTATGATCCACTGCTACATGAAAATGTGCTTTGGCCGCTTCTGGATAAGGCACAGAATACATTTTTAATGGTGAAGTTTCACACCTCAAGCCACCCACTTAGTCATTTCATCCTTGTGCTCTTCAAAGTCACTTTCAGGATCGATTCAAGGAAAATTTAGTTGACAGACATTGGAATGGAGAGGAGAGGTGCTTTAAAAACAATGTCCAAACAATAGCTAAGAGTGAAGATGGGAAAGGGAACGAGAGATGAGAGAATGGGAAGGAAAGCACAGAACAGGAGAAAAAAGACCTAGATGTGATAATGATCCACCCGAATACCCATCGTGGTAAATACACTGGTTATGTAGTGTTAACATATACTAATAAAAATGAATGGATTTGACAGAGACTACACAGAAAGTATCAAAAACAAGCAAATAATGTGCCCCTTGTATAGAATAGAATAGAATCCTATTTAATTTAAGCAGTATTTGCCTTGGAAGAGTGTCTGTACCCACCATGTCACTCTGTACACAAACCAGTAGATCATGTCCAGTCCAGGACTAGACTGGACTTCCCTCTAGCAGATACAAAGGTTGAGGAGGAAGGGACATGTGGCAGATTAGCAAGATGTTTTGGGGACACAGCAGGATGTGGGTGGTGTGGCTGCTCTTTGTGTATTCACGATGGCAGTCTGCCGGGTACCCCAGCCAACAGTGCCCCGTGTTTGCTCTTTTGTTGTTCCGTACCATTTGGTGCCAGCAATATTCTGGCAGCTGACATGTCAGCAGGTGCCTCTAAAATACCAAGTCACCCTAGGAAGACAGGAGGAGGAAATTATGTTTGCGGTCACCTAGGGCTTTGTGCCACCATTTCATAGCACAGTGGCTTTTGTTATTTGTTTATTATTTTTTAAGCCAAAGGGTGACACCCTTCTCTTTGTGGTTCTTTGAAGACAGCAAGATTCTGTTGCCATTCTCTGTGCTTAAGAAGGATCATGTGTGAAAGGAAAAATAAGAGGGAGCTGGACTGACTTGAAAAGGCCAAGTTTGGACTAAAACAGTTCAATACCATTGTCCAAGCAAAGCAAGAAAGATAAAGCTTTCACTTTGAGAAATGTCTTCTACCTCCTAAGGTGACATATGAAGGACTACTTGAAATGTCCATGTTCTTTCTCCAGAATGCTTGATAAAATACAAGTCTTAAGCATAATTATTGTTAAGAACGGGGCTGGAGGGACCAGTCTGAGGACATGAGGGAAGAGATGAGAAACAGGGAAGAAAGAAAGCAGGAATTGGATCTCAGAGCAAGGAAGGGCAATTGGAAAGGTGAGCCACAGGCAGACAGAATGCAACTCCTCCCCTGGAGCAGCCAAGAACAGAAGGATGGAGGGACACCAGGCGCACGATGCTGCGGCCTCCGGACTCCGGGGCGTGCCTTTCAGGGAGCTCCTGTGTGAGCTGTGTACCGGAGTGACTGCATTATCTCTGTGTAGTAGATGACAGGTCACCTGTTAAGTGTGAAGAGTGACAATCATCATTAGTCTAGAAGACTTGTGAATGGTAGTGAGAGCTCGAGCTGCAGCCCCTGTGGGAAAGCAGAGGCTCAAGATTACTGGGCCATCTAGGGGTTCACTTGGCACTGGAGACCAAGATCGTATAGTATCATTAAAATGCAAGATTGGATGGATTTTTGCAAAGATTTCCCCAGCATCATTTCTGCCCCTTAAGTGAGAGTGGGGTTTTGCTAAAGATCAAGAGAAGTGGGTGAATAAGTGGCAATAGGATGGTGGAGAAAATGGTAAATAATGCTAATCATGTTGATGTGATACAAAGGACAAGGAAACCATTTACAGCAGATTTCACTGAGCTCAGAGAGGTGGCGTCTGAGATCAGCTGTACAAGCCTCTTAGTCAACAAGAAAACCGAGGCTCAGAGTTTATAGTCAGTTGCTGATTTTTCTATTATGTCATGAGGCAAATCATGATAACATACATTCTAATTCCTCCTGTAAACTGTGAAATAAGGTATAATGGCTGAGTGAGGTCTTGGATTACAGACAGAAATGATCACATACAATGAAAGCAAACCGAACTATCAATTTTATTTTAACATATAAAAACTCTGCTGAGTCAAGAGGGACATACGTGTTATACATATAACTACACAAAAGGTTTCCATGTACCTCACCGTACCCAGGAAGTAGACTACCATTCTTGTCTACCTTAAATTCATCCTGAAGTTAATATTTTAGCCATTTTCGTAGAATGTAACCTTTATAAAAATCAGGAATTTGTTTTTCCTACAATAACCCCAGAATCTAGAACAGGGCTAGGGAAGTAGGCATTCAATAAAAAAGTGGTATTTGTTGAATGAATGAATGAATGCAGTAAGGATGAATCTTGCCTTTGGCCTACAGGCACTTAAAAGTTAAAATTGGATTTGTTTGTTAGCCAACACCCATAAAAAAAAAAAACTAATCTTTCTTGTGTTACTCAGTTTGGTTAAATCAATGTGTGAAAGTTATACTTCTGTCTTGGAAAGAGTTTGATAGTTTCCCCCTCAGCATTCCCACTCAGTGAAGACCTTCACTGCTTCTCAACTAGATTATTGATTGCACCGGTCCCATATTTAGCTTCTCTGACCAAGTGAGCTCCCCTCTTCCACTGGCCCAGCGCTATTGCCAAATGTCGATTCACTGGCTGAAAATGTGAACCATCACTGGATTTGATGTCAAAAGCCTGTGACCTCAACTACTTATTCCTGAGGCTGACGCAGGACAGTTATGAGGCAGCAAGACAGCTTGTGACACTTAGCAAGATCCGGTCTCAAAATAAAAATTAGAAACTATCTGGAGCTGGTGTGCAGTGACAGAGCACTTGCCTGGCATGCACACAGCCCTGAAGTTCCTTCCTCAGTGCAGAGAAAGTGTCCATTATTTACTACAGAACTCTTTCCTTAATAGTGCCTATAACATTTGTAGTCTAATCCCTTGATCTGCTTTGGATTTCATCATTTTTCATCGTGTATTTCTGTCCTCTGGTATTCATCTGTATTTCCTGAGTCCACACCTTTCCTCTTGCTCCTTACTCTGTTGAAAATGCACTCACTTCCTTGCCCACCTCACAGAATTACGATTATTCTTCACACTGTTTCTGTTTTATTAATGTATCTTCCAAGGAGCTTTTTCCTTTGAATTTGTACGGTGAACATTCAGTTATATTTTTGCTGCTGATTGTATATCTAATCAGTATATTTTTTGCCACTGATTGTACATCTAAAAACATTTTACTTCCAAAGAAAAGAACAGCATTTGTAACAAAGGTTAAAAGAAAAAAAAACACATATTAATTAATATTGAAACCCAGTGTTATAGTGGGCATAAAATATAAACAAATAAGATGCTTGGTTTTCTCATAGTTAAATTGTTAAAATAACTATATAATATCATTTGGGAGCTTTCTGATTAGCAAAATATAAACATTTTACTTAAAAAGAAACAGGATAGATTTGGACATAGGCAGTCATAAATATCCTATCAGCAGAATGTAAGTTGATATACCATTTGTGAAAGGGAATTTAATTAACATACATCAAACTTTCCGACACAGGTATGAATGTTAGGACAGTGCTTCTTCTGTGGACCTGCCCATTCCAACTGTTTATTCCCACCTGCTTTGTTTTTCTCTCTTTAGAAACTGCAATTTCATAGAGGACAAGGATGTAGCTCAGTGATAGAACACTTGCCTAGCATACAGAAGTCCCTGGGTTTCATCCCCAACACTGAAGAGAGAGGGAAAGAAGGAAAGAAGGAAAAAAAGAAAGAATAAAATAAAGAAAGAAGCAGGAGACAAGAAGAGAGGACAGGAGAGGAGAGGAGAGGAGAGGAGAGGAGAGGAGAGGAGAGGAGGGGAGGGGGGGAGGGGAGGGGAGGGGAGGAGAAGAAGAAAAGAAAGTCTGCTAAGGGTAAAGTGAACAAATTAAGCACAGTCAGAGGATTTGGCAGTCTCTGGAAGCCTGGTGCTGCATGCTTTCCTTAGGTGACAAGCCCTGATGCCTACATGTTGATCATCTGTGAGAAGATCTGAAGAAGATTTGGTTGGGAAACTACGGATGTTTCTTTTGTAGTGTGTTAATCAGTAGTAACACCGAAGAGTAGCTTGGAGAATAAGGTCCTCATCCCTCAAACCACCTCCAACAAAAACATAATCTAAATTATTTCAAACAGCGTGTTTTCTGTGCAAACAAAGCTGTGACCCCATACCCTGCTGTACTCTTTCACATGGATCATTTTGCTCCGAAAGTCTCTTGTTTAGAAATTCTAAAGCCGTTAGTGATGCCTTCAGAACCTGAGTTTGACATCTCTAACAGGCTCACCCAAGGAAGATCCAATCAGGGCCAGTGAAAGGAGCCTGGGGTTCTGACTTATTTGATTGTGTTTTGTTTTTAACTCCCAACTTTTCCTTAGAAAGAACGTCTATGTGTACTATAACTGGCTCTCTTTAATAAGCCACTTTTATTCTTTTCTATTTCAAGAGAATTTTCTTCTTCTGCACGTTGAGGGCCAAACTGTTGAATGGCGACCATTTTCCCATCTTTGCTCTTGCTGAGAATGAGCCCGATTCTTTCTACGGTTATAGTCTATGAAACACTTCTGTGTTCTCCTAGAGTAGTAAACTCTTAACATGACCACAAACTCTCAGATCCTTTATTTTCACAACTGGAATGCAGATGAATTTAGCCATTATTCAATTTAAGAACGGATTCTGAATGCCCTGCGTCCCTGGGTCTAATTCCATTTCTGTACTTTCCTTATCTCGGTCCCATTTACCTCACATCCTTTGGCTATCCAATCGCTAACCTCATTTCTTCGTGTCTCCACCCTTTTTCCTTGGAAAGCCTGGGTGGCTCTCCCTTTCTGGAGCTGGTTTGGCACAGCATTGAAGATCTCGCACTTGGAGCCAGGCTTCTGGGGGCAAAATCCATCCCTGTCACTTGCTAAGTGTGACCTCTTACTCAAACATGCAATCCCCATGAGCAATCCTCTATATCTTAGTTTCCTCCGCTATAAAATAAAGATGCTGCGAAGAGTCTATAGCATAGAAAACTTAATATGTTCTAATAAGTTCATACATGTGCAGTCTGAGAACAGTGTCTACAATAGAATGTATTATGCTAGTGTCTCATTACTATTCAAAGACATGGAGTTCATTCTCAGAAGATAGGGCAGTGACTGTTATTTACATTTGAGAAGCTGTAGTTATGTAAATTTTACATGAAAGAATATATAATGGAGACAGGTTTTGCCACTCTGAGATAAAGTCTTCTCTGTAAACATTAGAAGTTCCTGGCTATAGCTTGTCTTGAATTTAGTTGAAATTAGTAGGCATAGATTGTCACATCCTGCCGGGTTCTATAGTTGGGATTCTTTCTTAATTTTTTTTCTGTGTCTTTTTTTCGTTTTTATGGGTACCAGGGATCGAACTCACGGCTGCCTGCTTGCAAGGCAGGCGCTTATGCCGCTGAGCTAAATCCCCAGCCCCTATATTTGGGATTCTTACTACCAATGCAGCTCCACTGCTCTCATAGCTGCTAACCATCACCCACTGCCCTCAAGTCACTAGGGCTGCATGCTGATTGCATCCCCCTTCCCAATCAGTTCAAGAGATTTTCTGGAAGTTAGCTTGAGGAACCCCAGAATGTAGCTTGTCCAGAGTTGACTTTCCAGGATGCGGGAGTGATTTCACTGGCCCTGAGACAGAACTTTCTTCTGTGGCCTAAAGGTGCCTAGAAATTATCACTGTATTCATTCTTGAACTTAGGTTTCCACAGTTTGTAAAATCAAAATGAAATGTTACCAAGTGAGTGCTTTATAAATGATTGGGGTTAAAGACTCCTAAGACCCATAAAAAAGACAGAGAAAGATGAAGAGAAGAGAGAGAAATCTTCAACTTCTTTGTAGCATCTTCTCTTAAAGCTAGTCCTCTTTCCTACACTGACTCAAAACAGACAACTCAGAAATTTAGCCTAAGGAAAATTCTTCCTGAGAAAGAATCTCTCAAAATAGAGCTAAGAGTCCAAATAAGACCTCTCAAGTTTTGAACGAAAGCAAGAGCACTTGAACTTACTATGGGCACTAGACTTCTGTACTTATCTACATTTTCAGCTATGGAATACCAACAAAGGAATGAAAAAGGACTTAGCTACCTGTTCTGATAACATTTTCTACTGAACTATAAAGCAGTAGTTTATGGCTTTAAGGCTGATTGTAAAACAAAAGGCCTTTGTGGATTATAGTTTGGGATCACTACTGCTGGTTCAGTCTTCCATTTGTTCAAATGTTTCATGATCACATCTAATCCCCTTAATTCAGGCAGGTATAGAGCTGTATTGCACACAGTTGAGCGAGGGTACCCAGCTAGAGTGGAGTGATGATTAAAATCCAGCTGCACTCTACTTGACCAAGTGAGCACTCCGACTCAGGGAAGAATTCCCTTTAGGAAAAAGAAGATATTTTAAAAATTCTTGCAAAGGTATTCTCACGGCTCGTGCACATAGATGCATCCACCTAAATGGGCCATCTTTCACTAATTCCCGCAGAGGTGCTTCACGGGATACACCAGAAATCTTGGTTAACGCTTTTAGCTGACCAGAATTCTTGAACCCCTTGTTTATGATGAGCAGATTTGCCATTAAATTCCATTCAGTGGAAATATAGCCCCCATTATAAGCTAAGCAGCCAGATAACTTGCCAGCTTCCTTACAGCCAAGGGGAAAGACTACGGCCAGTTAAGTACCCATTCTCTGGACTACAAATTGGAAATTTGATCCTCATTCTCTGGACTGTGAATTGAAAGGTTGAGAAGCATAGGTATGAACAGGGTTACTTCCTTAGAGCAGCAGCAAATTCCTCTTTCCAGGCAGTAGATCAGGAAGCATCTATCTCCTGGGTTTCTGGAGGACTGCCCGAGACACTAGACTAGTTCTAAGAGAAGAATCTGCTGGGGATTTTATTGGCTACAAATGTCTCTTTAAATCCGAATTGCAACTTCATTATCTTTTTATATCATTCTCTACGCTTTTCAGAAGTAAAAAAAAAAAAATACTAAATTGACTTCTGTAATTTATAAATAAGAAACTTGAGCAGGGATTAGAAAACATTCTTAGAAATGTGATGAGACAGGAATATTTGTTATTGTAACGTCATGAAAACAGATATATCTACTTCTGAGCCAACATTCACCAAGCTTTGGATCCAGTCCTCTCCCTCCATCTCGGGAATTCTGGGTTATTAACTATTCACATCTTTCTCGTCTACTTAAACTCCCACCTTGATCTAGAGCCTTCCCACCAATATTCCAACACGAATACATCCAGTTAAATAAAGTGGTTTTCCTCGAGCCCACACATCTGTCTAGCTGTTGCTGTGCTCCAGGGTACAGCACCGTGTGTGCCAGAATGCAGTGTGTTCCAGGGGTGCGTTCTGGATGCGCTGTGATATTCTGAGTGTTGTGAATATTTATAATAATAAAAAATTAAAAGAGTTTTATAACCACTAAAAACTTCGTGGTTGAAATTATATTTAAACATTAGTTTTATGGTTCTTTCTCTAAACCCTGAAATTGGTAATCATTGATTTGGGCTCAAAGCATTTTGCATGACACCCAATCACAGAGTGAAAACTCCTCCCTCTCCTGACTTTTTCCTCATTTAGTTCAGTGAAACTGATTCAATCAAGGTTTTTTTAACCATTCTTTTGCAGATGTATGTAATATGAACTTGCTTTCGCATCTGATTTAATTTACTCTTCTTTTCATGACTTTACTTGTTGAGCATAGAGATATGTTTGGTTCTTACCTTGTTTTTCTCACGCTGGGCAGGACAGAAGGCAAGGCTTGTTCTCGAGGGTGGCACCCGCTTGGCCTTGTGCAGAGCTCTGCACAGCGTTTTTTCATGTGGGGAAAGCACCAGTTGTAATAGGGAAGACCCAGTCACACCCACAAGCTCTCATGTTCAAAACAGTCCTCAGGGCCGCAAACTTCTGTGCTATCCATCCAGATGTCTCCACTTTAGGGCCTTGGGTTTTCCCAACCCGCCTCAGCTGAGACCTCGGTCACCCTCAGCCCTCAGCAACAATATCTATAGAATTCTGATTTTGCTCTTCATTGTGGTTTTCTGCCATGGTGGGAGGGAGAGTCACTTTGTAAGCTACTGAAGATAGCTAGTGATTCTCACACTTGGCTCTAAACTGTTTGTTAAAGCCATCAGTTTCCCAGTATTTTTCTGCATATTTAATCTCACCAAGCTGATTGCATTATATTTGCAAATGTTATTATTTAACTGCCCAAAATCTGAATCTGCATGAGTCTAGGTATTCACTCTCTACTGGAATATTCTCCTGCTACCACCATGAAAGTTTTAGCAAATAAACCATCACCTATTCTTCAGACAATCTACACACCATATGCTACTATCTAGAATGGGGGGCTTAATATCCTTAAAAATGTTATTTTCCATATATGTAATAATTTTTAAAATGTTAGAATTCTTTGCTTTCTCAAACACACACTCATTTCTCAACTAGGCACACTTATAGTGTTGTCTATGCTTCATGTTTCCATTTGCCCAATCAGCCAAGTTTTTGTAAATTTCATGATTTTTAATTGGTAATATTTTACCGGTGAACAGTGATCTAAGTATCAAAATCACATGCAATAACAATTCTCTTTCCCATCCCTTTAGAAAGTGAGATCTACTAGAAGAAAGTTCAGTCGTTAGGGGTATTCCCTTGATGGAGAAATCAGGCTCTGCGTGTCTGCTCTCTTTGTCTCTGTCTCTGTCTCTGTCTCTGTCTCTGTCTCTGTCTTTTTGCCTCTCCAGATCTCCATGAGTCTGTGAGGTAAACCAGCCTTGCATCTCCATGTACTCCACACCCTGAGGTTTTACCTTAGCACAGGCCCCAAAACAACAGAATCAGGTGACCATGGTCTGAAAACATGATCCAAAGAAAAATTTTCTTCTTTTTAGGTTGATTGTCTGCATATTTTTTGTCACAGCCACAGAAAACTGACTAAAACGTGCCTCTTGTTGTTTTTAACATCACGCGCAGCACTCCTGTGTGTTTCTGCAGTCTCTCACTCTCTCAGAGAGGCCCACTGCTTTCCCCCGACTCTGTGTTTCTCACTTCTCCTTCCCTTGCAAACCCACACAGACTGTCCCCTCTGCCTTCCGGTCTTGGCCTTCCTTGACCTAATTAATGTCCCTGTATTTGTCAGTTTTCCCACTGCTTGACACAATACGCAACACCCATAACTTGAAAGAAGAGAGATTTATTTAGCTCACAGTTTCAAGGTCATCCAGTCAATGGTCAGCTGGCTCCAGGGCAGAAACATGACGGTGGAAAAGCCTGCTTAATTCACACTATTCATAAAGCAGACCAGGGAGCAGCAGCCAGAGGAGAATGTGCAAAGCACCATGTATTAATTAGCCAAGGCTGTAGCTCTGTGACCCAGCAAGACAGCCAGAAGCATGCTCCACCAATTGCCTGGGAAACTCCCCACCCAATCGAGTTGACACAATAAACCTTACTGCCACAGCGTCTTATCTTTCAGTCCTCCATCTATGAAAATCTTTCCTAACTTCCTTAAAGACTTACATCTTTAGTATAAACACTCAGAATGCCATATGTCACGGCGGACAGTTGTGAGCACTGGGAGTGTATGTGCTTCCATAGCCACTCTAAACACTGTGAAAGAACTGTAGCCGGCTCACTTATTTCTGTATTTCTGAGTTGTTAACCCTGGAAAACCAGTATTTCCTGCATCATTGGATGAAGCATTTGCCCACTCATGGTTCCAGCTTACAAAGGACTCAGACAACAAGGAAGGCCTAGTCACTCTTTAAACTCACAATCACCATTCTAAAGCTAGAAAAATAAAAGGAGCAAAGTTATCCCCATGACTTGATATTGTACTCAGATTCAACACCCTGCTCCATTTCTCTAAAATGTCCTAACATATTTTTAAATTTATTTATTTTTTTATTTTATTTTTTATTTCTATGACTTCTTAGATCATCCACCAATTTACTAAATCTCTTGTCTGCTATATATATATATTATACAGTTCTATGTCTATATTCTATTCTATATACTCATATATCTTTCAATTGTCATAATTTTCTTTCTTGGTACTGGAGATTGAACTCAACCTAGCACTTTCCAGGCAAGCGCTGTGCCACTGGGCTAAATCCTTGGCCCCATAATTTTCATTTTCAAATTTTTACTAGATTCTTTTTCATACTTTTTGGTTTTTTTTTTTGTACCAGGGATTGAACTCATGACCTCACACTTACCAGGCAGATGCTTATGCCACTGAGCTAAATCCCCCGCCCACTTCATACCCTTTTTTATAACACCTTTAAAAAATATATTTGAATGTCAAAATCCTCTGAGATTTGTCTATTACTAATATTTCCTGGGTATGAATTCTTCTGTTAGGCCTAATTCTTCTCACCTCAGTGAATTAGCTTTTGTAATTTCTAACTTCCAAATGTGACTTTATTATTTTCCATGGGAACAATAATTATCAGTTCCAAGTGTTACTCTTCTAACACCTTCTACATTCCATTGGGTTCCATACTAATTTTTTAATTTTTAGCTCATGGTTTCTGTACAGTGTAAATGAGAATCAGAGAAATAGCATGCATGGCATTGACTTGGGGTTCAAATTTCCCCCAGTGTCTCCTTTCCACCCCCATCTTATATTCTTACAAAATCTCTCAGTTGTTGGTCTAAATATCAAGTCCTTGCCCCAACTAAAATGCTCTTTAGATCAAGGTTAATACAAGAGTACCACAGCCCTGTTTCACGTGAACAAGGGCTGTGCTGCACGGCCCAAGCTCAGGGTCTGTGTCCGATCGTGAGAGCTCTCTGGGTGTGCATTTCCAGTCCTGTTCACAATTACATGCTCTGAATTCCTGCTGCAGTTTTATTACCAAGATTTTTCATCTTTGTGATTTGGTGTGTGTGTGTTTGTAATTTTCAATTTGTAATGTATTTTTCTATAGTATCATGTAATTGGTATGAAGAAGATAATTCCCCAAATCAATACAATTTGTCATCTTAACCAAAAGTTTGCATGGACATTTTTAAGAAAGATACTAAGTAACTATAATGTACACAAAAGTTTAGAAATCCTACATGAAAGTTCAAGAGTCTCTGCATTGCGGAATCCCATATTTTTTAATCCTGGCCCTTACCTACTTCACATGGACAAAGCAATCACTTCCCTTCAATTTTCCTTCCTCAATATTCTGGTCCTCTCACTACCTCCCAATTTACTCATGTCACTAAAATGCTTTCATAATTGAAATCCTTGCATTCACAACTTCTCCCTTAAGGTTCCACCCAGCTCACAGCACCCAACTGATCTAAGACATGTCTCTGTCCAAGTCTAAAATTTGTCCATTTCCCAGACCTTTTATACTATACAAGTGATCATCAAGACCCAGCCTATATCCTTCTGGCTTTTATCTGTTTGCCTGCACCTCATGTGATTTGCTGTCTAGAAAATGCTATTTCCCAATCTCAGTCATGTTAGAATAACTTCCTCCTTGAGCCTCTCTTTTTACTAGCCTGGCAGATCATTCATATTTCACACTCAGAAGCTGTCTCCTCTAGGAAACCTCCCTTGAGCAGTGTAAAATGTCTCAGCTTTCTGCTCCCAGAACGCTGTACACAGATCCTTTTAGAAACATACATTTAAAATGCACTATATATTTGCCTTTTTCATAAGACAAAAGTTTCCAAGGGAAAAGGATTATGTATTATCTCTACTTTATTTACCCAGCATGTGGCTTACAGCTTGACACATAGTTACATATTCAATATTTGCTAAACTGAAGTAAATTATTAAGAATCTCAGAAAAGCCAACTCCTCTCAAGGAGCTGTGCAGGCTGAATTATCTTCTTTGAAAACTAGCTGTTTTGGAAAGCCTAACTGCATAACAAAAACATGCCTGTCTTAGGCTAAAGATTTTATTTATTTATTTGGTAACGAGGATTGAACTCATGACCTCATGCTCGCGACGCAGGAACTTACACTGCTGAGCTAAACCCCCAACCTTAGGTCAAAGTTTTTAAACTGGTTATATGTTTGGGGAAAGGTAAGTATTAGAAATAATCAAGTCTTTCTAAGCTGTCTTGGATCTTCTGTTAAATACTTCTAGAAGTGTTTTCCTTAGCTAATTTCTAGGCTTTTATTCATTTAGTCTTCAACGGAAGACAGCAGTAAAAATCCTACCCTAAAAAATGGACAGTGTTACTGAGAAAAATAATGGCGATAAAACTAAATAGAATTATTTCCTTAAAAATATGGTTATGATGTCAGTTTTGAATAAAAACATAAATAGAACCAATATGAATAATCAAAGATTGGCCAGTAACTGTACTTCCTGTAAAGCTTGTTTGAATAGCATTTATTTATTTATTTATTTATTTATTGGTCTTTTTCGTTTTTATCAGTACCAGGGATCGAACTCACAACTGGCTGCTTGCAAGGCAGGCGCTTATGCTGCTGAGCTAAATCCCCAGCCCCCGAATAGCTTTTTGAATATACTTCCCATAAAGTCTTTTTGAAAAGTTCCTTCATTTCAAGTGTTATGGTACAATACTTCAGAATCTCTTAAGATTTATACCCATGATGCACAAAACTTTGGTTGGACAAGATCCTTCAATATTTATGTCAAAAACACTATTTTCGTTGTCTGTTCCTCACCTTGCTCTGAACATTTCAATCTCAAGACATTTAATCAGAATCGGTTAATTCATCTATGTGTAAGGGCATTTGGAGGAAGCTAGCATCAGGCACTTGCTTCAGATGACTTTGTTTTTGATGTAAGTAGCCAGAGGACCTAGAATTTTCTTGCTAAATTTCTTTGAAGCTTGTGAAAGTCATTAAAAAAATTTTGAACGATGCTGTAAAAACAGGTATGGGAATTTTCCTTAAGCTATGTTGACCTATAAGGAGTTTTAAGTGCATATGAATAAATACA